TCTTCTGTCCTTTCTTTCCTTTCTTTCTTTCTTGACAGGGTCGGGCTCTGTTGCTGAGACTGGAGTGCAGTGATGTGATCATAGCTTACTGCAGCTTCGAACTCCTGGGCTCAAGCAATCTTCCTGCCTCAGCTTCCCAAGTAGCTGGGACTACAGGCATGTACCACCATGCCTGGCTGATGTTTTTTGTTTGATTGTTTTGAGATAAGGTCTCATTCTGATTGCCCAGGCTGGAGTGCAGTGGCATGATCGCAGTTCACTGCAGCCTCAACCTCCCAAGCTCAGGTGATTCTCCCACATCAGCCTCCAGAGTGGCTGGGATTACAGTCATGCATGACCCTGCCTGGCTAATTTTTTGTGTTTTTAGTAGAGATGGGGTTTTGCCATGTTTCCCAAGCTGGAATGGTCTGGTTTGGTTTGGTTTGTGACAGAGTTTCACTCTTATTGCTCAGGCTGGAGTGCAACGGCATGATGTCAGCTCACCGCAACCTCCGCCTCCTGGGTTCAAGCGATCCTCTTACCTCAGCTTCACGAGTAGCTGGGATTACAGGTATGCACCACCATGCCCAGGTAATTTTTGTATATATATATATATATTTAGTAGAGAGGGGGTTTCTCCATGTTGGTCAGGCTGGTCTTGAACTCTCGACCTCAGGTGATCTATTTGCCTCGGCCTCCCTAAGTGCTGGGATTACAGACGTGAGCCACTGTGCCCAGCCTGTTTGTTTTTTTAGACACAGGGATCTTGCTATATTGCCCAGACTGGTCTCTAACTCCCAGCCTCAAGTGATCCTCCCACCCGAACCTCCCAAAGCACAGGCATTACAGGCATGAGCCAGGGCACTCAGCCCTAGATCATTTTATTATGGGTCTTTCTCCACACCCCACAGTGAGGTCCCCTCTTCCTTAACACCTTTTGAGCATCTACGCAGAGCAAACCTGACTTCCTGTCGCTGCCCACTGAGATCTGAGGATACACCACCATCCTGGCCCTGCACCGGGGTGACTGTGCCCCTGTTCCCAGGATGTAGCCTGGTGTGGCTCGCTCTGACACTCACCTACCAAAACTTCAGCCACTGCAGCAAGCCAGGTTGCACCCGGGAAGCCTGCAGGAAAAACAGGAAGTCCGAGTGGCCATCCCAGGGTCCCTTCCACACCCGCCAGCCTCAGGCCCCTTCTCTCTCCAGCCAGATTAAGATCAGGCCCCCATACTCACTGAGGAAGAAGGCGGGACTCCCCCCTGCAAAAACAAGATCAAAGGAAAGTGATGTGGGGCTCATGGCCTCCCTGTACCCTGGCATGGCCTCCAGGCTCACAAAGGGCCCTGTGGCAAGGGCAGGCTCATACCAGGGCTATCACCAAGGTTTTCCAGTCTGACTGTGCACATTCAGCCTGTGGAGTTAGTTTCACAACAGGTTTATCATCCTGAATGCACTGGATCCAAGATGATCCTGAACGTGGTTCCTGGGCACGTACTGACCAAGGGGGTCAAAAGAGGGTAGGTCTCCCTTTGGCCTGCCAGGTGGGTAGAGATAAGCTGGCCACAGATAGGCCGGCAGAGTGGAAGCCACAGGCGGTACAAGCTGCACATCCCCTCCTCTTATTGGCCTGTAGTTTCAGGTCTCTCTGGCAGGTCCTATCCCCAAGGGCAGGGGCTTTACTGTCTGAGAGATGGATAGGCAGCCTGCTGTTGCTTTGCCAGCCTAATTTGTACTCAGTATATTCATTTACTGTTGTTACGAGATTGCCTTCTTTGCAACTGAATGAAACCAAATTCTCATGCATTTGTTTGTTTGTTTAAGACGGAGTTTGCTCTTGTCGCCCAGGCTAGAGTGTAACGGCATGGTCTCGGCTCACTGCAACCTCCACCTCCCAGGTTCAAATGATTCTCCTGCCTTAGCCTCCTGAGTAGCTGGGATTATAGGTAGCTATAATCCCAGCTACTCAGGTAGCTGGGATTATAGTAGCCTGCCCCCACGCCCGGCTAATTTTTTTTTTTTTTAATAGAAACTGAGTTTCACCATGTTGGTCAGGCTCATCTCGAACTCCTGACCTCAGGTGATCCGCCCGCCTTGGCCTCCTTTCATTTCCTTTGTGGAATAAAGCATTCATTTCCCCAACAACCAGGCATTCCCAGGCCGGCCTCCCCTAAGCACTAGTCTACTTTCCTCGCCCTCCAGTCCATCTTCCCCAAAAAAAGGTCCACAGAGAGGGAACCTGTGAAGGAGAGCTGCTCGTGTGTTTTGCAGGTGTCGTGGTTTTCTAGAGCCTGTATTCTTCTTGGAGAGGGTGTTGGTTCGTTTTCTCTGTTGTTGCTGCTCCCTTTTAAGCTTTTCTGACTGGGTGGGTGTGAGGAGCATTGAGCCCTCCTGCCCTCCACTTCCAAACTGTCTCAGGGATCCCCAGTCTCCCTTGCAAATGGAGGGGAGGCCTGGACTCAAAGAGAGTGGGATCCAGCCTCAGGCAACCAACCAAGAGGACCCCGGAAGTGAAAGCCGCCCTCCCTCTCCCCCATCCAGAGTCCCTAGTGGGAAGACAGGGCAGTTGCAGGTCTCACCTTAGCAGGGGTCTTGACTGAGTACTGCCCACCATAGGCAGTGGGATAGGCATTCTGGTTATAATTGTTGTTCTGTGGAAGAAGTGGATGGGAGACTTAGAACAGACGGACGAAGGCCATTTTGCTCTGGAACAAACACCCCACCTTCCTGCCTGGACTAGACCTTTCTTAAAATGCCTGCCTTCTCCCCTGCTTGTATCACGTGTTTTCATTTATAGAATATCCTCTAGCCAGCCGGGGCCCCCACCTTCACCTGCCTTTACTGTCCTAGCCCAAATGGCGGCCGCCGCCTCCTCCTCCTCCTCCTCCTCCTCCTCCTCCTCCTCCTCCTCCGTCCTCTCCCAACTCCTCAAGTGTTACTTGGGAGGTGAGGGTAGGAGACCAGCGCCCAGACCTAACCCAACAGGTCCATGGTAGATGTCTCACCTTGGAAGTTACAGCTGCCACCTCCTGCCATCCTACACCTGGCTGAGAAAGCCATTGAATGGAGGAGCGAAAGAGAATTTCAGATTGCCCAGACCCGGGAGCAAGGCCAAGGGGGACCAAGGGCCCTGCAGGGGAACCTAAGGACAGAGACTCACCTGATCGGCGCTGCCTGAACGCTTCTGCAGTGATGTCGCGTCCACACCCTGAAAGGGAAAAGGGGCCACAGTTGGTGCCTCCGCAGTCATGCAGGCCTTGCCGGGCGTCTGGAGCTCCAGCTTCTCTCTCACCACCCCCTCCTTCCCACATGCTACCTACAAAGAAGGCAGTGAGCCTGGAGAAGCTGATGGCCCAGATAGATAGAAGTTCCACACTCAGCGTTGGGAGCCAGGGAGAGAACCAGGTTTGGCAATACCTTTCCCACCCATGGACCAGGAGAGCTGGCAGCTTCAGCCTGAGACTGAGCTAGAACAGCAGCTGAGCTGCAGCCACTCCAGCTCCTCTGGGGCAGACCCAGGCACCGCAGCCCAGCTCGCCTCTGTGTACACCAAGCCCTGCTGCTACCCCGCAGGCTTTTAGTCCCTGCACACAGACACTGTGCCCCACAGGGTGCTTGAAGGAGGGGTCGTTATCTGCAGAAGCTGTGTGCTTAGGTTAGCTCTAGGCTGCAGGAAGCCAAATGAGAAATACAAGAAAACAGCTGGAGCAACTTAAGACAATGCAGATGCACCGGGGACCCCCGGCCCCAGCACAGGAGGAGAGACTCTAGTGTTGGAAAGAAGTTGAGTTTCTGCACTTGGACCCTCCCCCTGCCCACCACACACACGCGCGCGCGCGCACACACACACACACACACACACACACACACGACAGTGAGGTCCTGACTTCAGCATTAACTCTGCCTTGTCCATACCTGACCTTGTACCTAAACCCCACTGCAAGCCCAAACACTGATGTCAAAAACTGGTTGACCATGGGCCTCCAGATATTTTTTGCTTGGTCCGAATTTTTAAAAATTCAATTAGGGCTGGGCGCAGTGACTCATGCCTATAATCCCAGCACTTTGGGAGGCTGAGGCAGGTGGATCATGAGGTCGGGAGTTCAAGACCAGCCTGGCTAAGATGGTGAAACCCCATCTCTACTAAAAAAAAAAAAAAAATTAGCCAGGTATGGTGGTGGGCACCTGTCATCTCAGCTACTTGGGAGGCTGAGGTAGAGAATTGCTTGAACCCAGGAGGTGGCAGTTGCAGTGAGCCGAGATCACGCCACTGCACTCCAGCCTGGGTGACAGAGTGAGACTCCATCTCAAAAAAAAAACAAATTAAATTATTTACAAACAATTAGAGATCAGCATTCTGGTTCTTCTGGAAACATCAGACACCATGCCACCCTGTTCACACAGGCATGCACAGTCGCAGTCAGCTGGAGCACCTCGACCTCCCGCTTCGCAGGGCCCCACCTGTCCAGCCTCGTGCACTTGGCACATGTAGACGTGGGAGCCGGCAGCCCTTGCCTCAGTGCCCGGGTCCCGTTCCTCAAAGGCCACTGGCCATGCAGAATTCAAGTGTGGTCTTTGACACAGCCCAGAGGGCCTGCCCATCCTCCCTGACCCAGGTCTGCAGATCCTCGGCAGCTCCCTCCACTAGACAGGGACCTGACCCCTGCATGCCACCCTCCCATTCCCCCTTGGCTGTCCTCCCTGTGCCCCAGCCTAGGCCCCTTCTTCCCCACCAGGCGGTCTCCCCGCACCTGCACACCCTGCAGTACCCACCCAGCCGTGGTTTCCCTGGGCCCAGGCCAGGCCCAGCAGGAGCAGGAGCAGAGCAGAGGCAGTGGCCAGCTTCATGTTCATGTGCCTGTGGCAGCCCAGCCCTGGGCCTCGGCTTTTATTCCTAGAGAGGGCCTCCCACCCTGCTCCTCAGTGACTCACGGCTTCTCTCTCTCACCCCGCCCCCACTCGCGATTGCACAAAGCCTGGGAAAGTGGGAAGGGAGGGGAAGAAACTGGGACAGACGCCTGGGTCAGCCGCTCGCCCAGGGCCCCAAACCCTGTGTCCCAGAGCTGAGAGGTCCTGTCCCCCTTACCTCAGTAATTGCTTTCCAGTTGAGGAAAGGAGTTTTGTGTTTGAAATCCTGCAGGGAGAAGAAGAGCAGAGTCAGCAGGGGAGACAGAACTCACGGCGTGGTCCTTCAAGCAAATTGGGGGAGTTTCCAGCTCTCTGGTAGGAGCTTCTGGGTGTGGTTTGGGGTTGGAGGAAGGCGAGCGCGTGGGAGATTGAGGGTGGCAGCATTTAAGATGACATTGGTGATAAGATTCGGGCGGTAAGATTTGGATGAGCTATCTCAAAACTGAAAAGGGGGAATTTTGAGACAGGTGTTTGGAGCAGAGGGCGGCTGCCTTGGGGGAGGCTTGGGGAGAGTTGGGAAGGCCAGGCCCCCAGTTCTTCCAACAGCAAGAATTCTCCTACCTCCCAGAGTCGGCTGAAGTAGAGGAGGGCCCGGGTGCTGGGCGGGGGGACTTGGTTCTGTGGATGAAAGGCAGGGAGCGGGTTAGCAGAGAGCCTGGGCTGCTCACCCACCCCTCCTCCTGCTACTGCCCTTTCTCAGCCTTCAGAATGTCATTGTGACTGAGGTTGTGGAGAGGGGGGAGCTGGGAGTCTTTAGGGACACCAGAAAACCATTTTTGATAATACAGGGAGAGAGAGGGGCTAGACCCCTGGAGACACTAACCAACTCTTCCTGTCCCAAAGCACACAGTGTTCTCTGTCCCAGGTCCTCCAGCCTCTGGCAGAACCTAATTCTAGCAAAATCTCAAGACTAGGACCTGACCCAGAGCATCCCCTTTCCACCTGCCAGGCCCCTGCAGCCCATTTCCCAAAGCTGTGGGGCTGCAGCCACCCCTTCCACACTACTCGGACAACAGCGGAGGCGTAAGAAAGGAGCAGAGACCAGGAGTGTGGGACAGCTGAGGTTTATTTCAAGGGCAAGGGCTGAGATCAGTGGTGGGAGGGTGGTGTTTTAAGGAGGGAGCGGGGGACTCCCATCCATCTGTGGCTCCTTGTCTGGAGGTCATGGGATGCGAGCACTTCTCTGGTCCTGGGCAAAGAAATAGGTTCTTTTTTGTTTGTTTGTTTTTTGGGGGGTTGTTTGTTTTTCAAGATGGAATCTCTGTTACCCAGGCTGGAGTGCAGTGGCACGATCTCGGCTCACTACAACCTCCACCTCCTGGCTTCAAGCGATTCTCCTGCCTCAGCCTCCCAAGTAGCTGGGACTACAGGTGTCTGGCTAATTTTTGTACTTTTAGAAGAGATGGAGTTTTGCCACGTTAGCCAGTCTGGTTTCAGACTCCCGACCTCAAGTGATCCACCTGCCTCGGCCTCCAAAGTGCTGGGATTACAAGTGTGAACCACCATGCCCAACCAGAAATAGGTTCTAAGAGGGAGCTTGAAGAATAGGAGTTCCAGGGTATCGTGAGTCAACGCAAGGGTAGAAGAGACCCCTGCTCCAGAAATCTACAGGGACCTTTTTGCCCACCACTGCTACCAAACAAACCCAGATATCCTGGCTTGGGCTTGAGAAGTCTCTGCCTCGTCACAAACGTTACACTGCATTCCCCTCTGCTCCCTCCTCACTCTGGCTGAAGTCCTCAGCTCCCTCACCCCACTGTGAAGGACAGGGCTCCATTCTCTCACCTGCCCACATCTGCCATGCCCCACTTTCTAGATCTGCCCCTCGAGGAGCTGACCCAGACGGATGCTGCCTCACTGTGATCAGTCCCTCGACCGCCACCTTAGATGGGCAACACGTCAGGCTGGCTGTCGTGCCTCTCTGGGAAGTGTCTGTATGTGCCCCGGTTCTCCCATCATACCCCAAGTTCCCTGTGACCCAAGAAAGAGTCTTGCTCCTACCAGAAACTGTTCTCTATGAAATAGGCCGGATGCAGTGGCTCACACCTGTAATCCCAGCACATTGGGAAGCCAAGGCGGGCAGATCACTGGAGGTCAGGAGTTCAAGACCAGCCTGGCCAACATAGTGAAACCTCCTCTCTACTAAAAATACAAAAATTAGTCAGGCATGGTGGCATGCGCCTGTAATCCCAGCTACTCAAGAGGCTGAGGCAGGAATATCACTTTGAACCCGGGAGGCGAAGGTTACAGTGAGCTGAGATCGTGCCACTGCACTCCAGCCTGGGCGACAGAGCAAGACTCGGTCTCAGAAAGAAAAAAAGGAAACAGAACACAAATCCATTGTAGCTGGGTGGGAATATCTGCACTCTCCTGTCTCCCCATCCTCATTCCTGAAAAGTCAGGCTTAAATTTTCCTGAGCCCAGTCATCTTTATTTTACCTTAAAGGCCAGAAACTCCACTGCTCACAAGGGCCAGTCAGGTGGCTAAAATGACTGTGACAGGTAGGGACAGTCTGGCCACTACAGAATGACCCTCCCCATCCCCAACACCCCTCCCTGGGCCAAGCAGCAGCTGTTTCTCAGCCCTAACCTAACCCCGCCCCATGGAAACGGGACCCAGTGTGGCCAAAGTTTTTGAAAGAAACCAGAAATCCAAATAATTATGCGAAGTCTCTCCATTTTCAAACTTTGGTGACTAATTCATATCCTTGAAAATAAAAAAGAGTGGCTCAAAACCCTTCCTCCAATCACCAGTCGCAGCTTCTGCCGGGGGTGTGTCTGCATGGGCTGTCGTCCCTCCTTCCTCCCCTCCCTTCCAGTCCAGCCCCCTCTACTCTAGAGGTACCTCTGCTATTCTGGTATCAAAGCAGCCTGGCCAGAGATTCCCCTGCAAGAGGGAAGGGTGGGCAGGGAGGAAGGAGGAAGGGGTTCTGCACCCCCGCTGTGTTTGTGTTTGTGCAGGAGAGACTAACGCCTGTCACCCCTGAGGCTCTTGGCCTGTGCTGGTTCCTTTCTCTGGGTGCCCATCCTCTCGGGATCGCTTAGCTCCGCCTACTCCTCATTCCGTGTACCCTCTAGAAGTCAATCTAGTCTCCCCTTAACCTTCCTAGTCTCTAAGGGGAAACTGAGTTTCGGAATCTGCTCAGGTCTGTAGGTTGAAGCAGCAAAGAAGCCCATCCCCTCCGCTCAGCCTCGATACCAGCTGCCCCAGATTCTCCCCGGTTTACAAGTCTCCACTGTCCTCGCTCCCACCCCCAGTTGGTTTAGTTTTTCTGTTCAGCACTCGCCTAAATGCTTCCTTAGTGGCCAGCTGTTTCTCCAGCTCACCGAGCAGAGGTTTCGCTTTCCTCTCTATACCCCTCTCCAGCGAAGACGGATCAGACGGCCATCCAGCCCTTACCTTGTTTATGGCATCCCAGTTAATGAAACCCAGCTTGGATTTAAAATTCTGCAGAGGAAACAAAAAGAAGAATGGCTGAGTTGAGTCATAAGGTGACTGGCCGAGAGATGTCAACGGCCGCTGCTGACTGTCGGCTTAGAAAGAGGACCTCCGCCTGTGGGGCCGAGGGCAGGGGTTGGTTTTCCAAACGCGAGTGAATGGGGCCAGCTCACAGAACTCACCTTCCAGAAAGTGTCGAAGTTAAACAGCCCAGGAGACGTCTCCGAGTTCTAAGGAACCAAGGAGAAACGGGATGAGATGAAGAACCCACTTTGTGAGCCGGAGGTGGGGGGTCTGAGTGGCAGGAGGGGAGGCGAGGATTGCGTGGCACCATGGTCCCAGCCCAAGGTGGAGTGTCACCTCCACTCACCACAGTATTGACTCCACCGACAGCGTCACCTCCTCCACTGCCCCATCTGGACCCTTGCCCCTGGGTGGGGAAAAGGGGGACTGATGTCCAAGGCTTATGCGTCCTAGCATGCCTGCCACCTGGCAGCCTGCCCCGGACTGGCTCATCCCCACCTCGATCCAGGCTTCCTGTCCTCGTCTGTGTAAAGCCACCTTCTCTTCCTTCCACAGTACCTAAAAGTCCACCTGGGAAAGCCTTCCTGGAATGACTTGCTCCCATGGAACCCCACCCAGTTCCCTGAATCTCAATAATCAGACTCTTGCCTCTGCCCTGTTCTGTCCCCGAAACACCACGAGTCATGCGGTTAGCTAACAGCATGCCAAGCACCGTGCCTTATCCAGCATCTATCTCCAGAGTCTAGACTCAGCAGGATCTTGGTCTGGTGATGACACAGAAAGCTGTACGGTAACTGAACGGTGTGTGTGCCAGACTTCACTGTCCTTATTTTACCGGAGGAAGCTCAGGCTCAGAGAGGTTAGCCGATTTGCCTGAAGATACACAGATGGCATGATACAGCTGGTGGTGTTTTTAATATAGGTTTTAAATTTTGTATTCTTTTCTCTTTTTTTGGTGTTTTGTTTTGCTTTTTTTTGTTTGTTTTGAGATGGAGCTTTGCTCTTGTTGCCCAGGCTGGAGTACAGTGGCACGATCTCAGTTTACTGCAACCTCCGCCTCCCAGGTCCAAGCGATTCTCATGCCTCAGCCTCCTAAATAGCCGGGATTACAGGCATGAGCCACCATGCCTGGATAATTTTGTATTTTTAGTAGAGATGGGATTTTGCCATGTTGGCCAGGCTGGTTTCGAACTCCTGACTCCAGGTGATCCACCCGTCTTGGCCTCCCAAAGTGCTGGGATTACAGGCGCAAGCCACCCGGCCCGGCCTATTATTTTCTTTGTAAAAAGTAGAGACAGGGTCTTGCTATGTTGCTCAGGCTGATCTCAAACTCCTGGGCTCAAGTGATCCTCCCGTCTCAGCCTCCCAAAGTGCTGGGATCACAGGTGTGCCAGTACCTGGCCAGAGCTGGCTTTTGAAGCCCCATCTTCTACCTCACAGGTCAGTGACTTTCTGCTTCTCAACACTGCCTCCCCAAGTATGGTGGGGGTTTTTTTTTTAATATCCCCTTGACCATTCTTCTGTTACTTGTATCTGGTTTTTTTTCCTCCTTTCAAAAGTAACATGGCTCTGATCCAAATCAAAAGGAAGGAGGGGATGAAGGAACCGAAGAGGGAGCTGGGGATCCCAGACCCTTGTTTTGGTCTCCGGATGGTCACTGGACACAGAGTCAGAGTAGCTTGCAAAAGAAACTGACGTTTCTGTTTCTTTTCCCAGGCTCTTGGCACGCTCCACCATCTCTTCTGCTAACGCCAACCCTGCCTGCCCCTAGGCTCACCTGATTATTGTCTCGGTAGCCTCCAAGGACACGATTGTCCTCTTTGCTTATTTCCTAGGAAGACAGAAAATGGAGAGGAGTCAACGGGGAGGCAGGCGGGGTGGGGGGATGAGAGGGCAGGGAAGCAGGGTGTCCGTGAGGGATTCCTGAATCGGGGGACTGAGACATGAGCATGACAGAGGAAGCTCCATCTGCCCCACGATCTCATTTCGAGCTCCTGTGGGTTGAGTGGCTGCTCACTTCCGATGTCCATAGATAATATCACCATCTCTGTTTATGTTCATTTCTGCAAGCCACCCAAAATCCATCAGGGAGGGCTTTGCCAGGAAAGCATCTGAATTCTCTCCTGGCTTTGGAGCTGGAGTGAGCCAGGCTGTTTCCCTAAGTTGATTGAAACTGAAGGACCCCATCTGGGCTGATTTGCATTAGTAAGAAAAGGTGATGCTAGCTGGAGAGACAGTGGGGGCTGAGGCTGCGAAGAGTAGACTGGCTGGTCCCCTCTTTTTCTTTTTTTTTTTTTTTTTCTTGAGAGGGAGTCTCGCTTTGTTGCCCAGGCTGGAGTGCAATGGCGTGATGTCAGCTCATTGCACCCTCAGGCCTCCCAGGTTCAAGCAATTCTACTGCCTCAGCCTCCCCAGTAGCTGGGACTACAGGTGCGCGCCACACCTGGCTAATTTTTTGTATTTTTAGTAGAGATAGGGTTTCACCATGTTGGCCAGGATGGTCTCCATCTCCTGACCTTGTGATCTGCCCACCTCAGCCTCTCACAGTGCTGGGATTACAGGCGTGAGCCACCGTGCTCGGCCAAGCTGGTCCTCTCTTAAGGGAGAGGTGGGCTCCTCTAGAGTCCTGCTTTATCTGCTGTGATACATGGCGAATTCCAGACCCATCAGTACTTGCTCATTCCCAGAGCTCTCATGTGGACTTGGCAGGGGTGTGGGACCACCTGTCTGCCAGTATTGCTCCTGGAGAACCGACCTCTATCCCACTTACTACCCACATAATCTTTACCCCCAGGTCCACCATCCTCTTACCCTCATGTTGCTGGAAACTCCCTGTCCTCTGTAGTCCTGCAGGGTGAGACAGTGAAACTCAGACCCCTGTTTTAAGATCCTGGGGCCAGCCTCAAAAATAAATGTATTGATTTAATATAATTCCTCTAACAATCATAATGACACTCTCCTTTGGAACTTGTCTCAACACTGAAATTCTTTTGGGAGGATGAAGGTCTAAGAATAGATAAGAAAACACTGGAAAAGATAAACAGTAAGTGAAGATAAGAGGCAGTTAGTAACATACTCTAAAGCTACCATAAATAAAGCAGTGTGGTCCCTGTCCAACAGAATTCCCAGAAGCTCTCCAAAATATTAAGGTATTTACAAGAGGTATTTTAAATCAGTGATGGAAGTGATTGAATACATGGGACTGGAAATATCAGTGAAGTATTTTTGGGGGAAATTTTAGTTCTACCTTGTTAGTTTCCTCCTCTCTGTTTTTAACCAGTTTTCCCCTCATAAAGAAGCACACGGCTCGGATACAAAGTGTAGGGTAAGTCTGGTTAGATGGAGGGGTGGGACTAGACAGTGTACAGGAAAATCAGGTCCAGATGCATCCCAGTTAAATTGAGAAAATGAAATTACAGGAGTATGCATAGTGCTAGAAGAAAATAAAAACCTTAAAGTGGTACACCAACAGCAAAAACCAGAGAGGAAAAGTTGGCTGTGTTTTGACTACTTAGATACTTAAGACTGTGGTATATTTAAAAAAAAAAAAATAGAAAAGATTGGGTGCAGTGGCTCCCACCTGTAATCCCAGCACTTTGGGAGGCCGAGGCACACAGATCACCTGAAGTCAGGAGTTTGAGACCAGCCTGGCCAACAGGGTGAAGCCCCATCTTTACTAAAAATACAAAAAAAAATTAGCTGGACATGGCGGGCGCCTGCAATCCCAGCTAATCGGAGGCTGAGGCAAGAGAATCGCTTGAACTGGGAGGTGGAGGATGCAGTGAGCCAACATCTCACCACTGCACTCCAGCCTGGGCAACAGAGCGAGACTTTGGCTCAAAAAGAAAAATGAAGGAGAAGGAAAAGAAATACTAGAAAGACGGTTACAAATGGGAAGTTGTTTTTTTTGTTTGTTTTTTTTGAGACAGAGTCTCACTCTGTTGTTCGGGCTGGAGTGCAATGGCGTGATCTCGGCTCACGGCAACTTCTGCCTCTCGAGTTCAAGCAATTCTCCTGCCTTAGCCTCCAGAGTAGCTGGGACTACAGGCGAGCACCACCATGCCTGGCTAATTTTTGTATTTTTGGTACAGACAGGGTTTCCCCATATTGGCCAGGCTGGTTTCTAACTTCTGACCTAGTGATCCGCCTGCCTCAGCCTCCCAGAGTGCTGGGATTACAGGTGTGAGCCACTGCGCCCGGCTGGGGAGAAATTTTTTTAAATCCCAGTTTGTTCCCATAAAAGGTCAGTATCGGCCGGGCGCGGTGGCTCAAGCCTGTAATCCCAGCACTTTGGGAGGCCGAGGCGGGTGGATCACGAGGTCAAGAGATCGAGACCATCCTGGTCAACATGGTGCCCGTCTCTACTAAAAATACAAAAAATTAGCTGGGCATGGTGGTGCGTGCCTGTAATCCCAGCTACTCAGGAGGCTGAGGCAGGAGAATTGCCTGAACCCAGGAGGCGGAGGTTGCGGTGAGCCGAGATCGCGCCATTGCACTCCAGCCTGGGTAACAAGAGGGAAACTCCGTCTCAAAAAAAAAAAAAAAAAGGTCAGTATCCCTCTCAGATGATCTAAAGAGAACTGTCTCCACTCAGCCGCAGCGCCTCCAGGCTGGCCTTGCTTCTGGCCGCATGGGCCCTTTCCTACCAACTCCTCACCCGGGAGCCGGTTAGCAACGCTGAGCTCAGCCCCATCCAGCCCTGTTAGAGCCACCTGCGCTTTCACAAGACCTCAGTGACACTAACTCTCAGCACCGCGGGTGCTGACCTAAAGCCCACATTTCCAGAATCACTGGGGGTATGTTCTTTCCAAAAGGACCAGTTCACACGGGATTTCTCCCAGCCCCATCTGTGGTATAAGGTGAGGGCTATCACACCAAGATTTGCAATGAATTAGTACTTTGGAGTTTGTTAGCATTTTTAGGAGTGCATTTTGGTTTCTTCTACCTAAATTGTCCATTCCCGGCAGACAAGGCAGGAGGGGGTTAAGCAGAGTTGAGTTAGGAGGAGCAGGCACAGTCCTAGACAGAAACTGCCGTCCCCAAGCGACTTTGCTCTCACCTGAACCCCAGATCCCCCGGTCCCGCGGGCTTCATTCTCTGGGTTTTCACACTGCCGGGGAGAGAAAGGGGAGACTTGCCCTTAGTCCCCTCCTGGATCAGTCCCAGCCCCAGATGGCAGCATTTTAACCCTGGGGTGAGCCGCTTCCTTTCCACCTCCGCGGAGCCTGGGCTCCCGGATCCTGCAAGAGACCCCAGCTGCTCCCCTTTTTCTTCCCACAGTCGGTGGGAGATTCGCGCCAGCCACTCACCCCAGGGGTGCGTCCATTTCCTCCGCCGCTCCCACCGTGGTTGCCGGAGGAGGAGCCGGAACTGGATCCCTGAAGGGGAAAGCGAGAGCTCCAACGCTGCCCTAAAGGACCTGGAGGGGTCCCAGTCATTCTTCCCAGCGGTGTCACACATCTGTTGGAACCGCGATCCCATTCCAGCCCTCTTTCCAACCTCCAGACCTTCCCCCTCTTTAGCCTGTTGGTCGCTGCAGGAAGTTATGCTGAGCATGGAGAAGGCCAGATGTGGCCGAGGGTATTGGGAAATATGCAATGATTTGGGGGACCTGAGCCGCTGCCCACCGCAGGCCAGGGATGGGAGCCCCTGGAGCCCGGCCGCGCAGGAGCAGCGATCCTGCCACTAGGAGGCAGAAAGCGCAAGGGACTCGAGAGCCCTCACCTGGGAGCTGCCGGAGCTGCCTTGGTCACCATTCCCAGAACTGCCCCAGATGGGAGAGAGGGTGGGGCGGGGAGCAGGGCATGAGAGCAGCTGGTGTTATTCAGCTTCCTGTGCCCACGCACCTTCTCCTGTCTGATACCTTTCCCAGATCCCCGAGGAAGCCAGATGTGGCTCCCTCTCCAGCTCGACTCCAAGACACGGGATGGGAGATGCCATTGGCCAAGGGGTTGGACAGGCCATTGGGCAAGAGGCTGGAGGGACGGCCGTCTCTAGATCTGTGCAGCCTGGGGCCCTGGGGTGGTAGCTGCGGGGTCACGGTGCCCCTTCTTGCCCTCACACCCAGCATGCAGGAGCCCCATGTATGAACGTTGTCTGCACGGTCACTCTGTCAGCTTTCGTAGGTCTGTCTCCGTGGGCACAGTCCTGCCCCCATGCTCCTGGGAGCTTCCCGGACAAGTGTCATATTCTTCTGTGCCCCCCTCTCTTCTCCGCCACCCCAAGCTCTCCTGAGACTTGCCAAGTGGACTTGACTGCAAGAGCTTAGACAGGCGGGATAATGTCCCCACCATCACAGAGTGGAAAATAGGGATACAGAGTCAGAAACCTCGGAGTGGTTCTGGCGGAAATGATAGTGCGTGTGTCTGGGACACAGCATGGGTGGGGAACAGGAGGCCGACGGGAGCCCCAGGGTGACGACTGCCAGGGAGGACTCACCCCGGGGCAGTGGCACCTTTCAGAGAAAGCTGGAGCCCTCTCCCGGCAGGGACCACTAGGGCCTGACCCCATCTCAGCCTTCCACAGAGGTGCCAAACTCACCCAGGAGGACTCACTGCCGCCGTCACCTCTGCTGCCACCACTGTTGCTGCCACTGCCGTTGCCACTGCTGCCACCACTGTTGCTGCCACTGCCGTTGCCACTGCTGCCACCACTGTTGCTGCCACTGCCATTGCCACTGCTGCCACCATTGCTGCCACCATTGCTGCCACTGCCGCCCGACTCTGAGCTGCTGCCTCCCTGAGGGGCAGGAAGGGAACAGGCCAGGATTCAAGATAGAGCACCAAGACGGGCCCCTACTCCCTCCCTCTCTACCCAGGCCATATTCTATGGTGCCCAATCTAAGAGGAGCAGAGCTTGTGCATTTTCTCCCCATGCAGAACACCGCCATTGCCCCTCTCCACTCACCCCAGAGTTGCTGGAGCCTCCACCCGAGCCAGATGGTGGGGGGTTAGTGCACTGCGGAGGGAAGGGGCCCGTGAGTTTGGAGACGCTGATCTCAGCCGTGGACATAGGCCAGGCCTCTCCCATTCTTTAGGGCTTCTCTTCCTTTCTCCTAAATGCCTGTTTCTCCAGCCACCCCTTCCCATCTCCCTGCCTCTTCCCCAGGCCCATCTCTTCTTTTTTTTTTTTTGTTGACACAGAGTATCACTCCGTTGCCCAGGCTAGAGTACAGTGCAACCTCCATCTCCCAGTTTCAAGTGACTGTCCTACTTCAGCCTCCCCAGTAGCTGGGACACAGGCGCATGTGCCACCACACCCCACTAATTTTTGTATTTTTTGTAGAAATGGGGTTTCACCATGGTCTCGAACTCCTGACCTCAAGTGATCCATGCCTCGGCCTCCCAAAGTGCTGGGATTATAAGCGTGAGCCACTTCACCTGGCCCCATCTCTTCCTCCCACCGGAATCCCTCCACCTCCCACCTTGCTTTCCTCTTTGTCTTTCCCTAGCTCTCTGTAGCCCATACCCAGTGGCCTCTTTGTTCATCCCCAGCCCCTTCTTCTTTCTTACCCCTGAATTCGGGTTGCCGCCTCTCACTGAACCGTAGCCAGGCTGGGCCACAGCTCCCTGCAGAGAGGGTGAGACTGAGTGTAGAATCCAGAAAGACCAGGGAGGCTTGAGGAGGGTGTGGGCTTGGAGGGAGGGGAGTGGCAGGTTGCAGGGCCAGGGGGTGGCTTTACCTGAGTGTTGGTCCCAAAGTTTGGTGGCCCTCCATTGCCTCCGTGAACCCAGGAGGCTCCCTGAGGATTGGTTCCAAAGCTGCCTGTTGAGCTTCCGGGGTATCCCTGGCCCCATGGAGTCCCCAGACCTCCAGAATTGCCCTGGCCCTGGCTTCCAAGGCCACCTTGAGAGCCAAAGATGCCATGGCCTCCAGAAGTTTCCTGCAAGGACAACATACCTGCACTTAGTGGGGCCATCTCTGACCTTGATAGAGAAGAGCCAGAGCAAACTGTAGAGAGATGAGGAGAGAGACAGGCAGAGGGACTCCAGGGTGGCAGAGGAGGGGCCAGAACACAGAAGCTGCTCCAGAGGGCTGCAAGTAAGAGACTCATCCGTCCTTTCAACCGTTTCCCACAAGTTTCACCCCAGTGGCCCACAGCCTCCCATTTCCACACCCGGCCTCACAGCCACTCACCCAAGCACCGTTGTGGCCAGGCACCCCCTGCCAGGAGCCGCGGACGGCATCTGCTCCGTGTCGAATGATATCCTCAGCCTGTCTGCCAATTTCATGCCCAGTGTTTCCCAGGGCGTGTGCTGCTTCCCCCACCCTGTTGCCCAAAGCATCTGCTGTGCCGGAGCCGGGAATCTGCCTGACTCCAGTGCTGATGGCTTCTCTGGTCCCTTGGCCAAGGGCCTCACTGACTCCAGAGCTGGCTGCCTCTCCGGCCCCTTTGCCAATGGCCTGTCCAACCCCTTGGCTCAGGGCATCTCCCATGCCATGTCCAATGGCTTCCCCAACATTTGCCACAGTGTCTTCCCCTCCACTCTGCAGGGGGCCAGCCTCCCCACTGCCCAGGCAGAGGGCCAGCAGGAGGCAGGCCAGGGACCCCTGGAACTTCATCTCTGCCCAGCCCCCTCTCTCTCCAGTGTCTTCCTCCCACCAGGGTCTCCTCCTGGCCGCCCTTGCTCTGTGTCTGTGTGACTCCTTGTCCTCCCTCCCTCTGGGTCTGTAGCCTTCTCTCTCCTGTCCCCAACTCCCCAGCCTTTCCAGAGTCCCCCTCCCTGTCACTACTCCTTATAAGCTAGGTTGGCAGAAGGTGACAGGGCTGGGCAACCCCAGGTCCCTCCCCACCGTGACTCAGGGCCCAGCTACCGATAGGGTAATGAGCTGTAATTGTGAGTCTGAGAGTCTCTGTCGAAACAGAGAGTGAGCTGCATGAGGGAGGAGGGAGAAACAGACAAGGTGATGCAAAAGCGCTCCCATTTCCCAACCCCAAGCATTGGGGCGCTGGGTGGGAACAGGGGCAACAAGGAGACAGGTTGTCCGAGGCTCCTGGAGGCAGTGGGGTGGGTGCAGGCTTAGAAGAGAGGAGTTGCTGGCAGGACCCCACCAGGGGAGTAAGGACAGGGAAGCCCCAGGGACACGACCCACCCAGGCTGAGCCAGCCTCGCTCAGGGGCACCAGAGTCACCGGCATCGCCCACCCGTCCTCGACCTTCCTCGGTTTCAGACCTCAGCCTCTCCTCTCCCTCTCCCCTCCCGCATTCCACCTACAGGTGACGGCCTTCGCAATCCTCCACACCTTCCAGCCCGCAGAGAGAGACTGGCAGCCACGGAGCTGCGTGGCAGCTTCTGAAGGTTCTGGGGAGAGCCCCCAGGGAGACCCTTGGTGTTGGGGAAGGAGGTGGCTGTAGCCCTTTGAGTGGTCAGCAGGGTGTCTCAGCGTTCAGGCTGCTCCCAGCTGAGAAAGCTGGGCGCGGAGCAGGGCGGCCGGGCACGCCAGCCACCCCCAGGGAACGAGTGGGAGGGAAGGCCAAGGGAGGGAGCCGCTGACCCAGGTGCCCATCCTGTTTACCCAGCCCTGGAGGGGCACGTGTGAGTGCGAGCACCTATGAGGGGCAGGACTGCGCCAGCTCATCCCACCCATCCTCCAGGGTCCCCAGTGTCAGGGCAGCACTGGCCAGAGAGGAGATGGTAGCACAAGGCCAGGAGCCATCCATCCGTGAGCCCACGGCCCTCTCCCCAGTCCCAGCTCGGGATACTGAACCTGAGAGCCTCCCCCGCCTCACCCCTGCCCAGCAAGTGTGGCTGCTTCTCTATTCCCAGGGACCCATGTCCTCCCACCGTCTCCTGTCACTAGGGTTCATCGCCCAGTTAGGAGGGGCTGGTTTCCATCGGCCTTTCTCAATGTCTCTCAGTCTTTCCCGCCTCTCCGCACCCCAACACCCGCACCCCAGCTTGTAACATCCAACACCTCTTACCTTGTAAACAAATCCCCTTCTGTCCTCCTCAGCTCCTGCTTCCCTGTTATTCCATCTCTGTCTCGTTTAATGATGATGATAATGGCGGTGGTAATAATCATGATAATTGCAGCTGGAGTGCTGTGGCACCGTCATAGCTCACTGCAGCCACGACCTCCTGGGCGCAATTGATTCTCCCGCCTCAGCCTCCCAAGGAGCTGGGACTGCAGGCACACACCACCACACTCAGCCCATTTTTTATTTTTATTTTATTTTAGTTTTTAAGAAAGAGTTTCAGTCTATTGCCCAGGCTGGAGTACAATGGCGTGGTCTCAGCTCACTCTAACCTCTGCTTCCCAGGTTCAAGCGATTCTCTTGCCTCAGCCTTCCGAGTAGCTGGGATTATAGGTGCCCACCACCACGCCCAGCCAATTTTTGCATTTTTAGTAGAGACAGGGTTTCACCATGTTGGTCATGCCAGTCTCGAGCTCCTGACCTCAAGTGATCTGCCTGCCTTGGCCTCTTAAAGTGCTGGGATGACAGGTATGAACCATCACGCCCGGTCATGTGTCCTCTTTGTTAAGAGGAAGATCAGCAAGTATGACCGAGGTGTTCTGGCTCAGCAGCATGGAGGAGCATGGGGTCTTTCTCAAAGGTAGGTCTCAGCCTCAAGAAAATAACACTAATAATAAATTTTTTCAAAAAATAAAAAGAAATGAAGCTTTTCTCTTTAACACAGTCAGAGAGCTTAAAAGAAAATGGAGAAGAGTAGGTTTCTCCCTGTGTGACTCAGTTATTCCGAGCCGTGTCCATGGGCCACCCTGATTCTCCCATGCCACCAACAGGCCCGTGTTATGCCTGCTGGGAAAAAACTGCCCTGAGACATCGCTGGGCCTGAGGAGCCACCTCAGGTCATCCTAAATACCTGGGACATCCTAAATACCTACTGTGAACCAAGTAGAATTTTAGGTGCTTTCACATACCTGATCTCCTTGAGTCCTCACTATGGCCAAAAGAGGTCAGTATTATTCCCATTATACAGATGAGGTAACTGAGGCCCAAGTGGCTCAGCAGCACACACAAGATTATATATACGAAAAGATCATGGTAAAACAGAGCTGTCAGAACTTGAGCCAAGCACTCTGAGAAGCCGCGGTGGGCAGGTCACCTGAGGTCAGGAGTTCAAGACCAGCCTGGCCAACATGGTGAAACCCCATCTTTACTAAAAATACAAAAATTAGCCAGGTGTGGTGGCAGGCACCTGTAATCCCAGGTACTCGGGAGGCTGAGGCAGTAGAAACATTTGAACCCAGGAAGTGGAGATTGCAGTGAGCCGAGATCGCTGCATTGCATTCCAGCCTGGGTGACAGAGCTAGACTCCATCTCAAAAAAAAAAAAAAAAAAAAAAAAAATTGAGCCGGTCAGTCTGGCTTCAAAAGCTTTCTCTCCTCCATCACCATGCCGCCTGTGTTCTTATGTGTGATAGCACCCACAAATCTGACATGCCCACGTCATGTCCAAGACCCTCTGGTTCCCGCTCTTCTCTCTAATTCACCATATCATTCATTCAGCAAATATTTATTGACCATCTACTTCATGCCATGCCTATGCCAGGCACTGGGGATATAGCGTAGAAACCATTCTCCGGCTGGGCGCGGTGGCTCACGTCTGTAATCCCAGCATTTTGGAAGGCCAAAGTGGGTGGATCACTTGAGGTCAGAAGTTCGAGACCAGCATGGGCAACACAGAGAGATCGCATCTCTAAAAAATGTTTTTTAAAAAGTGGTCAGGTGTGGTGTAGCACATTTGTAGTTCCAGCTACTCCAGAGGCTCAGGCAAGAGGACCACTTGAGCTCTGGAGGAGGAGGCTGCTATGATTGCACCACTGCACTCTAGCCTGGGTGACCGAGTGAGACTTTGTCTCAAAAAAAAAGCATTCTCCTTGCAGAACTTACACTCATGGTGGGGGAAGTTTGGCAATAGACAACAGAGAGGTGCTTTAAATAGGGTACTCGGGAAAGGCTCTTTGAGATGTGACCTGTGAGCTGATCCCTGTAGGGAGTAGGCGAGTGATCCTTGGGGGTAGCTGGGGCTAGTGGATTCCAGGCAGCGGGAACAGGAGCCTGCCTGTATTTAAGGACCGTTGTGGCTGGAGCAGTGTCGGGATGGGAGAAGATGAAGTCAAAGAGGTAAAGATCCTGGGGTCTTAGGGATCATTATAAAGACTTAGACTTTTTTTTTTTTTTTTCTTTAAGACAGGGTCTCGCTCTGTTGCTCAGGCTGGAGTGCAATGGTGCAACCTTGGCTCACTGCAACCTCCACCTTCTGGACTCAAGTGATTCTCCTGCCTTAGCCTGCTGAGTAGCTGAGATTACAGGTGCCCGCCACCACGCCTGGCTACTTTTTGTATTGTTAGTAGAGTCAGGGTTTTGCCATGTTGGCCAGGCTGGTCTCAAACTCCTGATCTCAGGTGATCCACCTGCCTCGGCCTCCCAAAGTCCTAGAATTACAGGCGTGAGCCACTGTGCCCGGCCAACTTTGACTTTTATTTTTACTCTGAATGAGGTGGAAGCAACTGAGGGTTCTGGGCTGCCATGAGTGCTAACGGGGTTCCCTGGGGAACAGAGAATGGAGGCTGGACTAGTGGGAAGATGAGGCCTTGGGTGTGGGTGATGTCTGTCTCCCCTCTGTGGGGTCCCAGGTCAAAAACTGGCACCTGCAGTCTCACCTCATCCACGGTGCCTATCCGAGTCTACATTCAAACCTTGGCTCCACCGCTTACTCACCATGATCGTAACCCTCTGTGCAACTGTTTTCTCGTCTGTAAAGAGGGATAAATGTGAGGATTAAGTGAAGTAATACATGTTAATTGCTTAGAGAAGTGTCTGGCACTCGGAAGCACTCAATATATGTTCTCGGCAGTGCTGATACACGTTGTTGCGGCTGGAATGTTTTCTTGGCAGTTTAATCTTGAGACACACATGCACACATTCTGAAAATGCCAGGTGCATGGCTCATGCCTGTAATCCCAGAAAGTTGGGAGGCCAAGGAGGGAAGATTGCTTGAGCCCAAGAGTTCCAGACCAGGCTGGGCAACATGGTGAGACCCCGTCTCTACAAAAAACACAAAAATTACCAGAGTGTAGTAGTGTGTGCCCGTAGTCTCAGCTACTCAGGAAGCTGAGGCACATGGATCGCTTGAACCTGGGAGGCAGAGTTTGCAGTGAGCCATGATTGCGCCACTGCACTCCAGCCTGGGTGACAGAGCAAGACCCTGCCTCATTTTCTTTTTAATGCAGAAACTTACTTTTAAAGAACACTCACCTTCAGCCAGGTGCGGTGGCTCACACCTGTAATCCCAGCACTTTGGGAGGCCAAAGCAGGTGTATCACCTAAGGTCAGGAGTTAGAGACCAGTCTGGCCAACATGGTGAAACCCCATCCCTGGTAAAAATACAAAAATTAGTTGGGCATGGTGGTAGGCACCTGTAATCCCATCTACTCAGGAGACTGAGGTAGGAGAATCTCCTGAACCTGGGATTTGGAGGTTGCAGTGAGTCGAGATCACGCCACTGCACTCCAGCCTGAGCAACAGAGCAAGACTCTGCCTTAAAAAATAAATAAAATAAAAGAGGCCAAGAGCGGTGGCTCATGCCTGTAATCCCAGTACTTTGGGAGGCCGAGGTGGGCAGATCACCTATGGTCAGGAGTTTGAGACCAGTCTGGCCAACATGGTGAAACCTCGTCTCTACTAAAAATACAAAAATTAGCCGGGGAGGGTGGCAAGTGCCTGTAGTCCCAGCTACTTGGGAGGCAGAGGCAGGAGAATCCCCTGAACCTAGGATTCAGTGGTTGCAGTGAGCCGAGATCGCACCACTGCACTCCAGCCTGGGCAATAGAGCAAGACTCTGTCAAAAAAAAACAAACACTCATTTGGAAGTAGCCTCCTCCCCCTTCCTGGGGGTCGAAGGGCAGCATGCCACCTCACTGCTAGAGATGTCCAGCAGGGACGTGCCCTTGAACTAGAGCCTGGCCATCACCACTTACTAGCTGGGTGGCCTCAGGCAACAGGCTCCCTTCCCTGTGCCTCTTCTTCAGCATCTGTGAGGGCAATGAGCATGGTACTTGCCTCATGGGTGGTTGTGGAGATGAAATGAATCATGTCTGTAAGAGCTTAGCACAGACCCTATAAAAGATGCCCGTGAGCGCCACACCCAAACTCCTCTCCCTGTTCTTCAACATCTGCAGAAACCGGCCCTTCCTCTCTGTGTTTCTCCCTAGCCTGGCTCCACCCATATCAGGCAAAGCAGCCTGTGTCTTGCTCACACTCATTCCATGGCCTTTCCCAATCTGCTCAAGCCAGTGGCTTGCCTTCTGCTCCTTGCCAGACATTTGTGCCTGGCCTTGACATCACCGCTTGAACCTCTTCATCTGGGGGGAAACGGATATAATTTTGTAATATGATTACAGACGATCATAAGCAACAGGAAAAACAAGATTGGGGCTATAAGAGCGAGTGACAGGGTGGCTGTAGCTCTGGTTGAGCAGTCAGGGCAGCTGAGATGCAAAGTTGGGGGGGTGCGGAAGGCAGCACCGGGGGCTGAGGGGCATGGGGAGTGTTCCTAGCCGAGGGAACAGCATGAAAGACCTCCAGGCGGGAGAGAGCCGGGCCTCTTGTACCCTCAAAACTGACCCAAAGCTCTCCTTTGTCAGCAGCCTCCCAGGACTGACTCAGTGCATATCAATTATCTTGCATCTCTTTGGTATTTTCAGGACCCCCATCCAAGTAAACCTAGCAAGAAAATGTGCCTAAAAATAGTCAGTCAGCTGGGCGATGGCCAGGCGTGGTGGCTCATGCCTGTAATCCCAGCACTTTGA